GGTTTTAAAAATTGTTTGCCTTGGTGACAAGTAAAACAAAATTTGTGTCAGAAAAGTTGGAGGACATTTGAACCTAAAACAAAATTGCACACCACACCCATTATATCACCTTGTCTAATTTGTTAAAGGTGCATGATACCTCTGGGGATTATGGAAATTATCTTCAATTATTTACACTTGAATTAACTGGAGTGACTAATAAACAAGAGCGCCAGCTGGAGCAATGTTCTAATTTCATTGAAATGCCAAACAAAAAAATTGCTAAGAAAGCTGAATGAAACGCTCCATGGGTGCAAATCAAATTTGTAAGCTCAGTAAATCCTTGCATGATACTTTTGATGACACCGGTCGAGCCGGTGAAAATTTGAGAAAACAACACAAACTCAACTTTGAAGTAATCCTGAACTAAATTTGTATATGTTACACACGTAGGGCCAATCTTGTTACATTGTTCAGGGGAGTCTCAACAACCATCCCCAAGTACCGTTTTCTGCGAGTTTTTGGCCTTTGTTTTCACCGTGAGGGTTGCCGCCCTCGAGGATATGCTGTCTTCTGTTCTAGTGCATTCATTGATCATGTTTGAACCAAATTGGTCAAAGCATGTCTAAGTGCATTCAAGTTTAATAATCCTTCAATGATGGTCGCAATGCAAAATCTGAACCCCTGTGATGCTGCTTGATTTGTAATCTTCCTGTCTAAATTACAGGCTCAGAAAAAAACGTTTGTCTGTTTGTCATATAGAGGGCGCTATAATCAAATGTGCCTGCAAAGAGCAAAAATGAATAAGGACTAATATAAATTTGGCCTGGTAACGTTCCAGAGCACACTAGCATATATCCTACTGTAAAATACTTTTATTTTAGCTAGATTTAATTTTTGCTTAATAGACATTTTTGGTGTTTTGTATGGAATTTATTTTCACTGATTTTTGACAAGTTCAATGTAAAATATAGGAAAAAAAAGGTATATTCGCTGGATAGTTTCACTGAATCAATTCCTTCAGGGAATATTAATTCCAAGCGAAAATAAAGTATTCCACAGTATATCACAATAGAAGCATACAACAGTACCTGTTCTAATTTTCAATGAAATTTGAAGCAGCTGATCCAAGCATTGCATACAAGTTACATAATACTTTATTACAGAAATAACCTGCCTTTACAATGTTTTTTTTTTTTTTCAAATCCCAGCTTACCCAAAACTTTTACTCCCCAACATGAAGGGATATGAATCTAACCAATAATTTTTGTAGACATGCAACAATAAAGTTATCAGTTTAATCAGAAATACAACATCCATATACAAGAATATAAATGTTCAAGATCTACTATCGGTAATATAATTGAAATTAAGTCATTCCAACTAAATCAGTCACAAAATTGGTTTGCACAATTTGATGTCTAATTGGGACAGTACATGTATTTAACACGAATCGTAAATCGGTGATAAAATATAAATTAAGCCATTCCAACTAAATCAGTCACAAAATTGGTTTGCACAATTTGATGTCTAATTGGGACAGTACATGTATTTAACACAAATCCTACATCATGTTTATTTTGTATAAGTACAAAGAATGCACCAACAATGAAAGTACAAGACACAAATTGTAATGTTAAGGCAGTGCAAAATAATTATAATATTGATCAAGCAATTGCCATAATTGAAACCCTGTACTTATTACATGCAGGTGTTATCAGATGATAACTTGCACACTGCTTAATATACCAACATAATTGTGCGCTACTGCAAAAGAAATTACCCTGGATGTCTATGTGAAGTTCATGCCTTGTATACACATATGAAATTCAAAAGTCTCGTACAAATCACTACTTTCAGATTTTAAAAATTACAATGCCAGATTCACATGCAGGTGTTATCAGATAACTTGCACACTGCTTAATATACCAACATAATTGTGCGCTACTGCAAAAGAAATTACCCTGGATGTCTATGTGAAGTTCATGCCTTGTATACACATATGAAATTCAAAAGTCTCGTACAAATCACTACTTTCAGATTTTAAAAATTACAATGCCAGATTCACATGCAGGTGTTATCAGATAACTTGCACACTGCTTAATATACCAACATAATTGTGCGCTACTGCAAAAGAAATTACCCTGGATGTCTATGTGAAGTTCATGCCTTGTATACACATATGAAATTCAAAAGTCTCGTACAAATCACTACTTTCAGATTTT